ATCTGCTCCATGGACAAGACACCACCACCTCGGTTGGCCGGTATTGTGATCTGGGTACATGAACCGATCTGATCTGCTCCATGGACAAGACACCACCACCTCGGTTGGCCGGTATTGTGATCTGGGTACATGAACCGATCTGATCTGCTCCACGGACAAGACACCACCACCGCCTCGGTTGGCCGGTATTGTGATCTGGGTACATGAACCGATCTGATCTGCTCCACGGACAAGACACCACCACCGCCTCGGTTGGCCGGTATTGTGATCTGGGTACATGAACCGATCTGATCTTCTCCATGGACAAGACACCACCACCTCGATTGGCCGGTATTGTGATCTGGGTACATGAACCGATCTGATCTGCTCCATGGACAAGACACCACCACCTCGGTTGGCCGGTATTGTGATCTGGGTACATGAACCGATCTGATCTGCTCCATGGACAAGACACCACCACCGCCTCGGTTGGCCGGTATTGTGATCTGGGTACATGAACCGATCTGATCTGCTCCATGGACAAGACACCACCACCACCTCGGTTGGCCGGTATTGTGATCTGGGTACATGAACCGATCTGATCTGCTCCATGGACAAGACACCACCACCTCGGTTGGCCGGTATTGTGATCAGGGTGCATGAACCGATCTGATCTGCCCCATGGACAAGACACCACCACCTCGGTTGGCCGGTATTGTGATCTGGGTACATGAACCGATCTGATCTGCTCCATGGACAAGACACCACCACCGCCTCGGTTGGCCGGTATTGTGATCTGGGTACATGAACCGATCTGATCTGCTCCATGGACAAGACACCACCACCAAAATATCACACGCAATTTATTTGGATTTGGTCTTATTATCTCATAGTTAAAATAAGTTGATATTTATTCTGACACAAAGGATACAAGCCATCAGCAACTTTTAGTTGCATAATCAGATGTTTTTTTTTTTTTCTTAAATGTTCTGTTTAGGTGCAGTTCTGACATCTCTCTCTCTAGATAACAGAGATGTTGAGGGAACATTGAACGCACTTGGCTGAGAATACAAGAGACTTAACTCCGCCTTTGCCGGTCCCAAGCCCGGATGAAAAAGGAGGAGGGGGAGCAGTAACAAGCTCACTAAAAAACCTGAGCTCAGCTGGCCCGGCTGATAGTACCCTGTAAGGACTCCAGGGATACAAGATTGAGCAGCGTTTGTACTCCATGTTAGGAGTAATTGCACATGGCGTCTGTTCCTCATGTCAGAGGCGGCCATTTCTTTTGGAGCTAAGTCAGCCTGCCACTGAGTAGTGCTCCCAGTCTTAATGACAAAGGCAGACGCATTCTACTTCACCCAGACCCTAATATGATTGAGTGGAGATAAGGAAGAAGAAGACAGGAGACTTACGTGAATGACCTGAGTGAACTCAGCGTAGCTCACTGTACGGTTGCGCTCCTCCCCAAAATGGAGTCTCATAAACTGCCCGGAGAAGTCAAACGGAATCTTGGCGTGGAGGGTGGTTTCTTTGATGATCTCCTCAAACTCATCTGCAACAGTTATCATCATCATTATCACCAGTATGTAAATAGGGCTTTAGAAGTGACTAGAAATAGTTTGCCTTGTAAAATACATAATAGTGATAAGATAATTAGAGAGCTTTCAAGCAACGACCTTCTCATACTGTCTTATCAAAGTTGAGAAACACAGAATGTGTGTAATAATCATTTCCAATAAATAAGATACTTATTTTGTTAATTTTTATTAATTTCTGAATAACTTTTAACAATCTTGATAAGGCGCAATTTGGATTATAGATTATAAAACGAGATAATAAGACCAAATCTAAATAAATAAATAGTGTGTGACGTTTCTGTAACAGCGTTGTTACCATCTTCAGACAAAAGTACTGAATCTATAAACACAAGGTAATAAGACCAAATAACAGCAACTATTTAAACCATGCTGTGGTAAAATTTCTCATTCACTACTTTTGTCTGAAGATGGTAACAACGCTGTTACCGAAACGTCACACACTATTTATTTATTTGGATTTGGTCTTATTACCTCATTTTTTTTAACAATCTTATACTTAAAATAAGATATGTATTAGAGCTTGAACCTTACCATGATAATCATTGAACCCTTAATAACGGATTCTATCCCAAAAAAAAAGAACTCGTTATCATGAAGAATTAAAGATAAAGCACAATTTGGATTATAGATTATAACTACAAAGTAATAAGACCTAATCCATATAAATTAATAGTGTGTGATGTTTCAGTAACAAAACGATTACTGTCACACACGATTAATTTATTTGGAATTTGGTCTATTTTCTTTTGAAAGTACATAATTACTCATTAAGCAGGAGGAACAATTCTGTCCTCCCAAGAGAACAACAATCGTTGATTTCCAGATTTAAGTCTGGTCATCTACAGACAATGTCTTCCAGAATGGTTGGTTGCAAGGTTTCCCACTATGTACTAAGTGTCTACCTACAACCCCAAACCACATTATTGACTGTATTGACTCATCTATTGATGAGCTCTACTCTTCCCCTACAGACACCATCAACAAGCTCTACAAGCTTGATATCCTGATATGATTGAATGGGGATAAGAAAGAAGAAGAAGGAATTATTAAAAAACCAAATTGGCATTTTCTGACCCCTCACATAAGTATTTTTATATGGCAGAGCGCCATTTATATATCTACTAGCCAAATGACCCGGGCAACGCCCAGGTTTTACCCGATTAAATGTTTTATTAAAATACTATTCTTCACAATTATAAATTGGCGTCATGGATGGCACTCTTTTGAAACGCTTCGCTTCAATCTTTGTGTGTTTTTAAAATACAAAAATAAAAATGTAAATTTTCACAACGATATTTGAAAATTGTATTATTTAGATTTTTTGTATAAATATATTTTAAATCTGATATATACATAAAATTAATGATAATGATAGCAAGTGATTTCTTGTTCCTACCCTGTCATTACGTCACTCAAGGTCACCGTCGCGCCACATGGTGGCGCAGCAAACGGTGACACCTGAATGGCGCTCTCCTATTGGCTCGCTACGATCACGCCACCAAAAGCAAACGGTGACAGAACGCATGACACTGATAACTGCATATAGAATTGGAACAAAAATCAACTAAACATTCATATAACTTGTTCCTAAGATGATAAAGCACAATTTGAATTATAGAAGATAAACACAAGGTAATAAGACCAAATCCAAATAAATAAATAGTGTGTGACGTTTCGGTAACAGCATTGTTACCATCTTCAGACAAAAGTATTGAATGAGAATTTAAACTATTTAAAACCGTGTTGTGGTAAAATTTCTCATTCAGTACTTTTGTCTGAAGATGGTAACAACACTGTTACCGAAACGTCACATACTATTTATTTGGATTTGGTCTTATTACCTTCTGTTGTTCCTAAGATATTTGGCCAACCCAAATTCGTGATAAATCAAGAAAAGTCAAACGACTGTTGGCCCTTGTCAGTGTGGTACAGACTGTACCTCTACAACCGAATATTTGTTCCCAGAGGCTTTCTGAGAAATCAAGAAATGGGTATTTAAGGATAAGTTTGTGTAAAAAAACGCTTTTCATGTAAAAAAAAAAATAGGGAATCAACATTTAGTTTTATACATGGATGGATCAAAGGTAGAGGGTTGTCTAAAGTAGGAATATAAAGTTTTAGCGGTTGATTAATTAGTTCATGAACCCAGTTGTTCAGTAGAAGACACCAGATTCATTAGCTTACTTCAAATATCACTTGCAGAGATTTGTTTTATACCAAGACTTAATGTCTTCTTCTTTCTTATCTCCACTCAATCATATTAGAGTATCAAGCTTGTAGAGCTTGAGACCTGACAACCATCATGTCTGGGTGAAGTAGAATGCCTTTGTCATTAAGACTGGGAGCACTACTCAGTGGCAGGCCGACTTAGCTCCAAAAGAAATGGCCGCCTCTGACATGAGGAACAGACGCCATGTGCAACTGCTCCTAACATGGAGTACAAATGCTGCTTATCCTGTTGTATCCCTGGAGCCCTTACAGGGTACTATCAGCCAGGCCAGCTGAGCCCAGGTTTTTTAGTGAGCTTGTTACTGCTCCCCCTCCTCCTTTTTCATCCGGGCTTGGTCCCGGCAAAGGCGACTTAATGTACATGTATAAAACAAAACTGTGAGAGATATTTGAAGTAAATTAATGAACCCAGTGGCTTCTACTGAACAAGTGGGTGAATGAACTAATTGATCAATCACTAAGACTTTATATCCTGACTTAAAAGACTTATTGTACATGTCACAGTATGGTTGAAGCCAAGGAAATCTCACCATGGGTGATGGAGCCTGAACCGTTGGTATCAAAAAGCTGGAAGGCCGTCTTATAGAGGGCGTCTGGCTTACAGAGAACTCCTTCAAAAGCTTGGAACTCTGGGAAGGAAATAAGTCTGAAACACAAATAAACACTCAGTATATCATAGTACATAATAATACTTCCATAGAAGCAATGGGCGCTTCTCCCATCAAAATAAACGTCAAAAACTGACGTCATCTATTGACGGTCGCCGCAACTAGCGGCATCGGGTCGGTGACAAAGCCACAACACCAACTTTGGCAAACTGATAAGCGTCCACCTAGAGACCATGGTTTCGGGCTAATGGCCCTCATCAGTCTAGGGCGGACTTTATTCCATGAGATCCACACAGGATCTAATGGAATCCTCACAATCTACTAAAGAGATGTTTTGCTGGCAATGTGGCTGGGCCAAATCTTATCCCTAGTACACGTGGTACAGGCCATGATAATCATGGTGGGTAAAAATTAGCTAACTGCTTTTACATTAAATGCACCACATGTCTACACATGTGAAAAGCAGTTCGACATGGAACTTACAAATATTCCAGAGCCCCGTTTGGTTACTTGCACTCATTAGTGAGGTTGGACTTTTGAAAGAATTGAACTCTTTGGAGTATTTTTTTTTATTATCTTAAAAAAGTGCACAATGTGGGATTCGAACCCAGGTCATATCGGTTGGAAACCAACAGTTTAGACCACCCTTCCACTGACGCCCAGTATATCATATTACCATGGCTATATGGAATTAAAAAGGTTTGTTTTGAATACCTAATATTTGATGTACCCTGAAGAGAGAAAATAGGTTGCAATAGTCCAAGGGTCAGAAAAATGATAATAAAATGGATTTCAAACAAAAAGGAATAAGACCAAACCCAAATAAATAAATAACATTTAGTTTAGAATATAATCCTTTTCTAGCAATTTTAGATAATAATCATCTAAGGATGAGTATCAATTATTAAACGTTTTTTGAGATTTCGGGATAACGCCCAAAATTGATACAAATTTTCCTGTAGAAGGGCATTATCCCGAAATCTCGAAAAACGTTTAATAATTGATACTCATCCTTGGATGTTTATTATCTAAAAATAAATAGTGTGTTATGTTGAAAACATCAGTCTTCCAGATATAAGTTTCTTTATGAAAAAGGCATCTCCTTATCGTGCAACTGAAAGTTGCTGATGGCTTGCGCCATCTATCGAAATAAATATAAACTATTCTCGTTGATTTTTAATTATTCCAAGAATTGGCCAAATACCCATTCTTGATTAAACAAGAAAAGCTAACTACGGACGTGTTTCGGGCTGTTGGATCTATTGGAATAAATATCAATTATTCTCTATAGATGGCGTAAGCCATCAGCAACTTTCAGTTGCACGATAAGGAGATGCCTTTTTCATAATTTATGCACCTTATCCCAGTACAATATCACATTGTACTATTTTTTCATATAAGTTTCTTTATTTAAAATACAATATAACGCGGCTGATGATTGTAAAACGAAAATTGCAATTATACCGCGAATGTTTCTTCTAAACAAAAATCGAAATTTATTTTAAAGAGAGAAATAGCGATTATCTCTAACTTTAAGGATGAAGTATGAATTGTGGAGAGTAATGATAAACGGAAAAATAAAAGTGTCCAGGGATGGATTCCGTTTATCATTACTCTCCACAATTCATACTTCATCCTTAAAGTTAGAGATAATCGCTATTTCTCTCTTTAAAATAAATTCGATTTTTGTTTAGAAGAAACATTCGCGGTATAATTGCAATTTTCGTTTTATTTAAAATGTTTATTTAAAATCTTTAGCTTTAGGGCATGAAAGCCCTTCTAGAGTAGAAACACAATATTATACTCTCTACTGTATTTGAGAAAAATTATGAGAAACTTTAGGAAGGGTAAAGTAAAAAGGCATCTCATGATATTGTAACTAAAAGTTGCTGATAGCTTGTACTATCTGTTCGAATAAATACTTATATACCAACAGATAGTACAAGCTATCAGTATCTTTTAGTTACAAGATCAGATGCCTTTTTTCTCTATTTATCCACCTAATCTCAGTAAAAATTTCATTATTGTACTGTTTTTCATCTAGGAATGGTATTGGAAAAAGGGATGTTTTTACTAAGAACTCTTATACAGTAGAACTACCTCCCTGTAAAGGACAACACCTAATTACAGAGCCAAAGTGTCCTTTAGAGAGAGGTGTCCTCTTACTGGAGAGTTGCTACAGTAGAACCTCCCTGTAAAGGACAACACCTATTTGCAAAGCCAAAGTGTCCTTTAGGGAGAGGTGTCCTCTTACTGGAGAGTTGCTACAGTAGAACCTCCCTGTAAAGGACACCTACTTGCAGAGCCAAAGTGTCCTCTAGGGAGAGGTATCCTCTTACTGGAGAGTTGCTACAGTAGAACCTCCCTGTAAAGGAAACTACTTGCAGAGCCAAAGTGTCCTTTAGGGAGAGGTGTCCTCTTACTGGAGAGTTGCTACAGTAGAACCTCCCTGTAAAGGACACCTAATTGCAGAGCCAAAGTGTCCTCTAGGGAGAGGTATCCTCTTACTGGAGAGTTACTACAGTAGAACCTCCCTGTAAAGGACACCTACTTGCAGAGCCAAAGTGTCCTCTAGGGAGAGGTATCCTCTTACTGGAGAGTTGCTACAGTAGAACCTCCCTGTAAAGGAAACTACTTGCAGAGCCAAAGTGTCCTTTAGGGAGAGGTGTCCTCTTACTGGAGAGTTGCTACAGTAGAACCTCCCTGTAAATGAAAACTACTTGCAGAGCCAAAGTGTCCTTTAGGGAGAGGTGTCCTCTTACTGGAGAGTTGCTACAGTAGAACCTCCCTGTAAAGGACACCTAATTGCAGAGCCAAAGTGTCCTCTAGGGAGAGGTATCCTCTTACTGGAGAGTTACTACAGTAGAACCTCCCTGTAAAGGACACCTACTTGCAGAGCCAAAGTGTCCTTTAGGGAGAGGTGTCCTCTTACTGGAGAGTATTGCTACAGTAGAACCTCCCTGTAAAGGACACTGTTGCAGATCCACTGTCCCTTTTTGTGTGTGTATGTGTTTTGTATTCATTTTATTGAAGATATAGAGAGGGAGGCTTCAAAATGTAAGAAAGCCGTGTAAGAAAGGACGCCCCCCTCACCCCCCGCGGCGCGAGCGGCAGCGGTCACGGCCCATGATGCAACTTCCGCCCTCCCCCCCCCCCCCCCCCCCCCCGCCCACTTCTCTTTTGTTCTACTTGTTGTCGACGCCTGCTCGCGTCTTGAGCTCCTAAAGCTCTAGCTCTCTCTTTTGAAGTAATACTTTTCCTGTAATTTTTTATATCAATTATAAATAAATTTCCCTTCTTCACAGCAATCATTGAGTTGCTATAGTTTTAATTGTTTTATGTTGGTTACACCGTCCAGTGATACGAATTTCATTGTTCAAAGCTCGACAATTTTTTGGCGTCCGCGACAGGACGTGCAACAGCATATTTTGTAACTCAAAATGAATCGCCTCAAGAAAGGAAGAAGGGCCCGTTCGTGGCCAAATCACAAAGCTCATCAACAGTGTTGAAACAGCCCTGAAGAAGCCAGTAGAAGAACTGGACAAGACAGACTTGAGGGTCTCAGCACTACAGCTTGAAGATTTATGTCGAGATCTTCATGAATGGGATGAGAAAGTAACCGAGGCCATGTTGGATGAAGAAGTGATTGATGATGAACAGGACAAAGAATATGATGAACGTCTGAGGTACGACAGACTAATCAAAAGGATGAGAGAAGAGTTAGAGAAAGTACTGAATCCGAAGAAAGGTGTGTCGCCCCAGCCTGATGAAACATCTTCGGAAACAAGCAACAGTACAAGCCGGAGAAGAGTTCTGCTTCCCAAGAGAAAAACTCCCAGAGTTTGGAGGTGATGTACGGGAATGGATAACCTTCTGGTCAAGGTTTGAAGACATCCACAACGACGAGGATCTCTCAGACTCAGATAAGTACCAATATCTTGTAGACTGCATGTTGGAAAATTCCGAAGCTCAGCAACTAGTTCTAAGTTATCCTGTCTCAGGAAAGAATTATGCTTCGGTAATCAAAGATCTTAAAGAAAGATTTGGGCGAGATAACATGCTAATAAAGGTCTATGTTCGAGATCTATTGTGGTTGGTCATTCGAAGTGCACAAGAGAGAAAGGTCAACTTTAAAGATCTTGTGACAAAGTTGAACTCTCAAATTAGGCATTTAAGTATGCTTGGTGTAACTACAGACAAGTGTGCCGATATATTGTATCCGGTAGTTGAATCATGTCTACCGGAGGATGTCCTCATCTCATGGCAGCGAAGCAGCGAACCGGAAGACCTAGAAAGCTTGATGAAATTTCTTCGTCGTGAGGTCAATCAGACTAAGGATAGAGAAATGGCCTACAATAAGCATTCAGATTCCTTAGCTCAGCCTACACCAGGGAAGATAGAAACGAAGAAAAGAAGTTTCAATGCAAGGCGTGAAATTGCTACAACCTCTGGATTTATGCATTCCGACATCTCACCAACACTGCGTGAGAAATTTAAATGCATTTTCTGCGACAATGGTCATCCAAGTCAAGACTGTCGAAAAAGGAATGAAAATGGGCATGGACCAGAAAAATGAGAAAATCAAGAGCTACAAGAGATGTTTTAAATGTCTGCTTCCAGGCCACAGAAGCAGGCAATGTAAAAAGAAAGTGCGCTGTGATTTCTGCAAGAGGGATGGGCATTATGCCATCATGTGTAGAGGTGCAGATCATGCTGAAACTGAAAGAAAGAGTCCACAACGACCACAGAATTCAACGCCAACTCCAGGTTCGAGTGATGTAGCTACGGTGAACGAGATGTCCAACTGTGTAAGCACCAAAGCATGCCTTGAGACATTATTAGTGAAAGTTTGGGGTCCTAAAGGTAGCAAAGTGGTACGGGCAGTAATTGATAGTGGATCATCCCAATCGTACATTTTGGAACACATTGTAAAGGATTTGGGTGTTCCTATCATGGGAGAAGAAGAGCTTGATCATGAAATATTTGGTGGATCAGGTATACTGATCGACATCGGATCTACTGCCTGACTCTATCAAGTATTGAGAATGATAGATGCATTTCATGTCCGGCATCAGCCACTAATCAAATAGCCAGATGTATAAGAAAGCCTACGTTTGGTTCATGGGCCCGCGAACTTGCGTCAAAGAAGATACAGCTCTCAGCATTTAAAGCCGAAAGTGATGAGGTAGAGCTTCTCCTCGGTGCAGACATTAACCCAAAAATAGCTACAGCCAATATGATAAGATTATCGGATGATCTTATTGCTCGAGAAACATTGCTAGGTTGGGTAGTTCAAGGCAAAACGGAAGGAAAATTCCCAGATAAAAATCCTAACCAGGTTCATAACAGTATGCTGATCACATCTTTAATGACACAAGAAATAAAGGTTTCCGATTTATGGTCTCTGGAAAATATTGGAGTCATGGATGACGGGCAAGCAGAGTCAAAGAAAGAGACAGATCAGGCTATTATGGATAAGTTTCGGACTGAAACAAAGCGATTGAATCTGGTAGATACGAGGTGCACCTTCCATGGATAGAACCAGCCCAGAAGCTAAAAGAAAATAAAAGCCATGCCGAGAAAAGACTCCGGAAGATGACAGAGGATCTAAAGAAAAGAGGCTTTTATCACCATTACAAGATATTTGAAGAATGGGAGG